ACAAGGAAAAATTCTTATCAGGCAATCTTATAATTCTTCTCAAGGTAGAAGAAGTTCCCCTTCTTATTCAACTACCGATTTCAAGACTCTTTAAGAAATAACCTCAAGGTACAGGCTTTGAATATTAATTGCTGAAAAGCCYGAATTTAGAAAAATGCTTTYARAAAAAYMAAAAAMCCYGCAGTGATGAGATTAGTAAAAAAAATTGACAGTGCTGTTCAGGGAAGCATCCTATACTGAGAAATGGAAACATCTGTGGTTTGTTTTAGGATTTTTTTGACCMAATTTCTTTGAGTTCAGCCCAGATTTTGCAGATGCCCAAGCTGCTGCTGGTGGTTCCCCCCCTGGCAAGCAGGGATGGGTGTGCACAGCAGTGAGCCACTGGCTCCTGTCCCAGCCAAGATTTGGTACAAATGACACCTCTCTGCCAGGAAACGCCTTGAGGCACTGCTCTTGGAGCACAGCCCTGCCACTGAATTGCTTCCAGGGCAGCCAGAATTATCCTGTGGCACAGCAYGGGGGACAGGAAACCTTCCAAAACATCTCTTACAAATCCCTGCTGCCTGTGACCTCTTACACATGGGCTGCAGACTTGAGAGAGAACTCACCCTGATTTCTGTCTTCTGCTTGCTCCTGGGTCTCAGCCAAGRTCACTGGGTATCCCTTGTTCCTACCCCTATGAAATATGTGGGGTCAAGGCAGAACTCACTCTTAGTTCTGCATGTCAAAATCATACAATGAGCAAGAAAGGAGTAAAGGAAAACGTGGGTATTTGGAACATGATGTGAAGTAGAGACAAATGAAAAGCTTCTTACTAAACTTAGCTGAAGAGCAAAGAAGAGGGTGCCAGGAGGTACAAAACAAAGTGTCATGCTGCTTTTGTAATTGCCTAATTGGACAAAATAATTCCCTCCTGCAGGGTGACCCTCTCTTGCATCTCTAGCAAGGAAATGCACTACAAAATAAGGAACWGAGTTTTCTGAATAAACCCATTGTCTTTATTGAATTACCACTTTATGCTATTACAATTATTGCATAATTATCCTCTTGTTGTGAGTACTCATGTCTTTTTACACATTTCCTGCTCTCACAGTCATCGTGGCATGGGACCACCCCAGCAAAATCCTTTGTCAAACATTCCTCTGCTTTAATGATGCCAGAAAGTGTTTTGCTCTTTGGCAATCAACCTCTCCACAAATTTCTTAGCTCTTAAGGCTTTTTTATCTAGAAGCCTCCAGAAACTTTCTCCCATAGCTGGCATYACTAAAAGTGACAGGCAGCAGTAAAACCCTTTGATCCCAGTCCTCAGGTGCTGTAACTTCCCTGACTTAGATGGCTGAGCCTTTTCACCATTGATCAAGCAGTTTGTAGCCGATTATTGTAATTAATCACCTTTGAAGTGCCAAGTTATATGAAGCTCTGGAGCAGTCCAGATTGCAGAACTCAAATCAAATTTATTAATATTCTCATTTTTTAGGGATATCATGCTGTTTATGGAAGTGTTTTTTCTGCACATTTTTATTTGTCCTGGTGAGGGTTCTCCACTTGGGATAAGCGCATGTAGGGAAATCATCCAGAGCTAAGAAACTGTCTTCACTTCTGATTTAATCTTAACCTCATGTTTTCCTAAGCTAGTCATGRGAACTGCATCTGCCAGTGAAAGGTTAGACGTAGCCTTGCTGCTGAACCAGGCTGGTCTGTGTCCAACCACAAASTGTGCTGTGCCCAGCAGCAAACAAGGCAGCTCAGCCAAGCATCAGAAGGGCAGTCCCCAGCCAGAGCCTGTCCCCAGCAAACTGCCACCACCAAAGTTAGAGTATTTCTCTGGTAATTCCACCAGGAGAAACATCACCTCAACTCTTSAGTAAAATAAAAGAATTAGTTTAAAATCACCTTTGCAGTTGTGCATCCAGAGCTGTACTCAGCCCTRTACTTCACTATGAAATTGGGAGGAAACTTTGTCAATCCTTTAATTAATGCTTTTGCTGGCAGCTATTCCCACTCTTCTTCTGCTTCCAAGAAGCACCAGTATAACCAGTGCTTACCCAAGCACAGCCCCAGCACCCTGCCCAGAGCTCCACAGCTGGTAGGAGAGACTGTCAGGAGCCCAGAAAGGGCTCACGAGGACCTTTGGGAGTGCACCCATTTGTCACAGCCGTGTCTTCATCATCTGATAAGTGAATTTACTGACTGTTTCATTGGCAGTGCTCTCACTAAGGAGAGTACATGTTGGAGAAAGTTTGAAAAAGAAGACAGTATCTGGTTCTAAACAGACATCAAAAGAGGAATAAAAAAACCCCAGTATTTTGTTTCAAACCATGCAGGGACAAAAAACTCCCTACATGTGAACTGCAATAAGCATGCAAATGTGACATTTATATACCTGTCCCTACCTTTTCTTCCCAAAACCCAGCCACCCAAAAATCAATATACATTAAAATCTGAATAGAATAAAACTGAAGTCAAAATGCCAATGCCTTTAAAATGTCCCACAGAAAATAAGATATTGAAAATGTTGCAGTTCTGCTCTGTTAGCTCAGCAACCAATATGAGAATGGAGGAAATGTTGGCTCTAAACTTGAAGCTACCAAATGAACAGGTTTAAATAAAAATAGACTGGGGAGCAGTGAAACAGACCTTAAAATATGTAGATTTTAATTACATATTACATATTTTTAATTACTTTGCCTGAAAGTCTCAGCTGCTGTCTGTGTTTTTGAGACACTGGGTTTACAGGGAGCACCCAATGCCTGCGCTGATGGGGTTATTGCTTTGGACAAGCTCTGGTCTGGTCYGGTGAGCTTAATTGCAATTAGCTGGGAGATTGTTTTGTTTTACCCATGAGCAGCCAAGATTGCATGTCCCCAACTGCTCTGCAATGTGAGACATGGAATGATACACCTTGGAGAGCAGCAGATTCATTCCTAAGTGAGCTTCTGCTCTGAAATAGTGGGCTACACACTTTGTCCATAATTTCTCACTACAAAGTAGACCCTTCATCTGGTTACCATTCCTGCCAGTAACTAAGAGAAGTAATTAAAAAACATACCATCTGCCTGAAAATGTACAAATATRGAAAGTGCTTAATATATTTGTGTAAGAATATCACAATGTGGAGGAAGAAAACACAAAGATGCTTGATTTCTCAATGACTACTGCAATATTTTGGTGTATAGTTACAGTGCTACTTCATGCTAGTCTAAATCATTGCTATTAACAAATCTAGGAGCTTCAGAAAGGCCATATCTGAAAAAGATTTTTCATCTTCCACTAACTGCATCATTTTATGAAGCCTTAACAGACTTAAAAAAATTGGCCTACAGTCTGAGTGACAGTTTGTGTTGCAGATTTAGAGGGGATATGAAATTTTCCTATATCAAAGCTGAAGAACAGTTCTGACAGCTGCAAATGTTCTCTGAATTAATAATGTGGAGCTGGTATAAGACAATATTTAAGAAAAATCCATTTCTCTCTGCAGCATTGAAGCCCTTTGCTTATAAAATATTAAACAGGATTAAAATTGGTATGCTGCTTGAATGGGAAGAGAAAACTTGAAATCCGTATATGAATCCAGAAGTGAAAAGAATCATTAATTCCAACTTTTATTACTGATAACTTATAATTTGGGGTGAAACAACACTCTGCCCTTGCTACTAAAATTCAAACCAATATTTTGACTCTGGCATAGGAAAKAAAATCCACTTTCTGGCTTTATCATTTAAACCCCACTGACCAACCCTTATTTGCAGAAGCTTTCTTTACTTTATAACAAACACCTCTGGAAGACTAAATAAGCTTGTTACCTGCTATGTAACAGCTTTCTGAAAGCTAACTGACAAATCTGAACTTCTGGTTTGTCCTGACTTTAGAGATAAAATTACTTTCTYATTTCTCAGTGCTTCCTTACATCAACTCTTAGTTACAAATAGGTTGTATAATGTCAAGAAAAAAAAACCAGAAGATGTGGCCTGGGTTTGTGGTTTTTTGTCTAGCAGAGAGAAAGACTGGGCTAAACTTTTGTGAAGAGGCTTAAAAATTTAACTTCAAGCCCACCTAAACTTCTCAGGTTGAYAGTTTAGCCATTTTGTTCCCCATTCTCACCTGCAGAAATGAGAGAAACCTGTGTCATCCGTGTAAAACTCACCTGTGCACTCAGGCTGATGCAGTCCCCTAAGGAAGCTGCTGAGATGCTGTGTCTGCTGGACCTGGGGAACCCTCAGGAAGAGCAGGGAGGTCCTACTGCCTTTGCAGACACAGGAACCCTGAGAGCCCRGCTGGTATTTATCTGCTGGAAGCCAGGCTGAGTGCACAGAGCAGGAATATGCCTGTTGGGGATGTTGCAAGCCTGTTCTGTCTGTGTGGGTTGTAAGAACTTCCCGTCAAAGTCTCAGGGAAAGTCCCAGCCCTTGTATTTACAGCTGAGGTGAAGCAGTGGTTGCTTTTGTCATGCTGGCACTGACTTGCCCCTTGGCTATGGGCCAGACCTAAAGTTTGGCTGCCTTTCCCTACTCTTGGAAGATTAACCCGAGGATTGCAGAAGCCAGAAATTTAGAAGCACAACTGTAAATATTTGCCTGGAAGGAGAGCTGCTTTTTTGTGTCATGGCTCTCCTGTGCCATTCCACCTGTAGGTAAGGACAGAAAGATTGACACATTAATGAAAGAAGTTTGTCATGGGGATGGTTGAAAGCAGCATCTCTGAGATTCTCTRGTTATTCTTGGTAACTGCAGTGATCGTGTGGAGCCAAAGTGTGTGATGGGTAAGTGTTGAGAAATGAGTCTTTAAGGGGTAAGCCACTGTGTAAATGCAAATTCTGTAATTTTATTATCTGTTTGAAATGGGAGATAATTCAAAGTAGATTACTTGAGCATCGTTGAACTAAATGATAATCCAGAAAAGAGCAAGGGGCTAAGAGAGTCCCACTAGCACTGAAATTTTGTAAATTTGAAAAATGAATGGAAGGGGATTTAAATAATATAGCACTCTAGACTTGCAAGCAACGTCTGACATTAAGGAGGAAGATTGTAAAAGAAAAACGTTTTAACACAATCTTGATTTTGGGACACTTACTGGAAACTAATTAGAAAAACACAATAAAGAGTCAGAAAATATAAAACACTGAGATAATTTCTAAAAACAGAAAGAAAGGACAAGAAGAAGTTTCATTCAGAGAAACCTGTGTCTGCATTAGGGCTGAAAAAAGAATTTGAGGACTTGAGTTATAGAAAAGAGATCAGRTCATGTTTGAGATTGAGAACAGGAAGAGCCTGTGTCACTCGTACATTGTGACAAATAGCACAAGCCAATGTGAACCTGAACTACTGGAAGAGATCCGGGAACTGAAAAAGGTGATACCACTTTGAAAAAGCCTGGAAGATTCAATGGCATGTGCAAAGGGCAGCACCTGGCTCAGAATGTCCACTGAGGCAGTGGATGTGTCTGGAGATAACCATTGTTCATTTTCAGGCGGCCCTTATACAAAGATGCTGCCAAAAATTGTTTATTACACTTAAATCAAAGGGAATGGAGAGGAAGATATTTGACTCACAGAATTTAAAACCACAAGGTTAAGCCTACAGAAAATAMATGAGAAATAAATGTACAGATTCATAATAGATAGGAAAAAGGGCAAGTGCTGCACAATTCAGTCCATCAAAGTGATCTAAGAATTGAGCTCTTGTGTAAGAACATGAGCAAAAAAAATCTGAATATAATTTGAAGCTATTTCCCAGTGGATAAATACCTCAYGAATACTAGAAAAAAGCAGGAAAGCATTGAATTGTCCAACAATTCCCACACGTATGTGATGCTTTCACATTGTAAAGCAATGCTTTAAAGGAAAGCTGTATATAATCACTGCTCTGGAACTACTGGAAGAACAGACAGAACAGTTCTAGGAAAGATGAATGGAACTCCCTGTTTGTCCAGTGATAGGCCTGAAGAAACAAAACAGGTCTCACACTGCTGGCGGGAGATATGGTCAGTGACAAGTACCTCTGTCCCTTATATATCACGGGGTTCCTGGTAGGAGTTTGTACTAGCAAAAATAAAAGAGGGCTTTTAAAAAACTTTTTGAAACATTTGTGAGCTGCACTATTTTCTCAGATGTCTATTTAGGCTGCTTTTGGCATCTGAAGAAAAATATGGTAAATTTTTCATGCCTTCCAGGTTAATAAGATTTATACAGATGACATTTAGATTTGATGAAAAAATGCTGTCTCAGAGCAGCTCTGGAAAGAAACTGCTTCTGGGCTGAAGGTGGATGAACAACACTGTAAATACCATACTTGAAAAAAGTTAGCACAAACCCAAGTAAATCACCAGAAAATATTCAGCAATTCCTGTTCTCCAATAGTATTTTGGTGAGAGAAAGAGAAATATGTACCTAATGAAGCTTCTTGAGAGTACTGTCATGATCATCATACATGTAATTATTGCAGAAAATGAGCAACAGGARGAATTAATTAGACATTTCAGACCTTAAAGTAAATCATCCATGGGCGATTTCAGGGCATATGTTGATGTGGTCATTTTAAGCAGTGTGGAAAATATAATGTAAAAAAAGAGATTGCAGTAGTTAATGAGTTCACAAAACTTAGGTATACTCATAGGGGGAAAAAAAAAGAAGATTTAATCTTAGTCGTGGATATAGCCAACCCATACATTTTTATTTACTGAAGGCCAGTGCTGTTTGAAACTGATTGTAAATCATGAGGAATTACCAAACACATGAGGAATTACCAAACAGAGCCTGGCCAATGCTTATTTTTCATTATTTTTCAGTTATGAAGTGTGACTTGCAGCTTCAATATATCCTTGAAATTGCAAGCTGGATTTCTAGAGCATTTGACAATGAAACCATGTCCAGAGAGATATTTGCTCATCACTCTTATTGCAACAATAGTTACTGAGGCTTCAGAAAATAGTTCATATCATTGAATGCAAGATTAAATTTAGCCTGAAAACATGAGGGCAGTGAACTTGAAAACATTACTGAGGAACATCTTCCAAAGCATATGTGCCAATAATTTCAAGATTCAAATATGTAAGGAAAAGGCCAGGGGCAGGGGAGGGTTGTGCTCTGCTTTGTGTCCATCTCTGRGGTCCTTATACATGTTTGAACTCTCATCTCTCACACTTCACCCTTCCTTTTTCATTTGTTGTTTCCTATCATTACTTGTCTGGGCTCCTTTTTTTTTTCCAGGGAAAAGTAAAAAAGAGCAATGGTGTTACAAAGCTGCATGTTGTTTGTAGGAGTTTGTTTCCCCAGGCTCATAGTTACTGTGGAAGAAGAGATGACAACCTTCTGAAAAAAACACAGAAGGGAAAAAGAGGCACAAARCCTGTCACTTTATGCTTCAAAATCTCCATCAGCCAGCAAACTCACCCTGAGATCAGGGAGATCCAGGACACACAGCTAGGATGGCTGCCCCTGAGAGAAGCAGTCCTGGTGCCAGCATGCCCACAGGGACACCCCAGGGCATCTTAAAGGCTGGTGGAAATTTACTGAAAATTGCAGCCTCAAGGCTGCTGATAAACATTTGTATCCCTCCCTTAAATCACTGTTTGAATTATACTTCTTTTTATGATTTCCTTGGCAGGGAAGGTATAGTCTTGGGAATGTACATTAAAGTTTTAGCATCTGAAMAAAGAATTCTGGCTATAGTATTGTAAAGCCTGCCTTTGTTATGTGCAGCCTTCACAGRCAGAGGAACATAATTTTGCTGAGGATTTATTCTGAGGTCCAAGATTATACAGGATGGAAGTCAGCACATCTTTGAGGATTTATGCATTGGAGATGACGAAACACCACCAAGCACACTAGTTAACTTAAATCTCAGTGATGCCAGAGCAAGAAGGATTTCCACCTGGAAACAGGGTGCAAAGGAGCGTGGTTTAAACATAAGCTTTGTCCTGTATTCTTTGTCCCTATCATGGCATTTCTGAACAAAGTGTAGTTTCTTGAGAACAAGGTACTGGGTTCTCAGTCTTAGGGGTAGCTGACTTGACATCAGTTTGCCCAGAATCAGGAAAAAATCACCCTTCACAAAATCACAGATACAGGTGTCACTGATAAATCCATGAGTTTCCAATACAATGGCATTATCTTTGATGGTAAACAATTCAGAGTAATTCAGTGAAACTTGACTGAAAAAAAAAAAAGTATTTGGAAGAAAAATTAGATCATATTTCTCTCAAATAAAGTAAACAAACTTTCTTCCCTGAACTTTCCTTGACACTGTTTAATGTGATGGTTCACTTGCTTCCTTGTGCTCAGCTGAAGCTGTTGACTGTGTTTGCTGTCAATTTCTACAGAGTGGGAATACCCAGAMCATTCCTGGGCAAAAGCTCCAGAAGTTTTGACAGGTTTAGATTTCTTTCTTGCACAGTACTTTATCTGTGAAGCCTGTGAGGGAAGCACTGGGCGTGCAAGCAGATGAGCAACAGAGGTCAGCTGAAGTTGCAGACCCAAGATAAGCAGCATTTCATAAGGTACTCAGTGAGTGAAAAAAAGACTCGCTTACAGAGATGAGCTGTTGTGTGGCCAGACATTCAAAGCTAGGGAACAGGTGAGTTTTTGGAGGAGACAGTAATTTCTAACTTTCTTTCTATATAAATCACTAACTTCATCCARCCTGTCCATGCTTCATTTTGATCATCTTCTGAAAAGTGTTTGAGAAGTGATATACATGATAAGGGGAATCGTTTTTCTTGTCAGAAGTGAGATTGACACATGGGAGACTGAAAGTCAGTAATGGCTGAAACATTTTTCCATTTGTTGTTCTCGATTTGGCTGAAGACAAATCCTYGCTTGGAATCCTTCCTCTAAAGTTAATATTTTCAAAGGAACTACACTCAAATCTGTGTGAGATGTCTCAGGTTTTTATTGTGTCTCATTAGTTTTCAACACATGTGAAGATCAGTAAAGATCCTGGAGGGGCCTCTAATAATACTGTCAGTAGGAGATGAGAAAATGTAACCGTATAAGCTTTTACGTTCTTAGTGTTATTTTCTGTTTTTTGGCTACCTGCCATTTGATTTTAAGTGGGGATTAGAGGCACTGAAGACACATGCAGCTAAAATATCACAGGTTCTTTATGCTAAATAAAGGTAATTTTGTTCAGCTGGTGTTTATCATCTATTCACAGAGTGACACTTTCATTTCTGAGATGATAATAACCATTCAGTAGGAGCCTTCCTTGCTGTTTCAGCAGATAAAGTTACCCTGTGACCAGAGATGGATCTTGTWCATGCATTTTTGAAGGCTGCTTTGGATTCCTGTTGCATTCAAGCTTGTTGCTTCATTTCTRAACAGTCT